TTTGCTGACCATTGTTAATTTTTTTTTTTTTGGCAGGCAATATGCAGTCTACAGCGAGAATTGTTCTGTCCATCTTCGTGTTAGTCTCCGTTGCCACTACAGCATCCAGTAAGTATGCTGCCCTAGTATTTTTTTTTTACTCCTGGAATAATTTTGCTATTAATTTTAAAAAAATAGACGTGAATTTATTAATTACTCTTAATAATAGTTTACGAATGTTTAAATAATTTAAATTTGATATTCTTATATTCTATTTATAACAGAAAATAGACTAGGTTACTTTATACTTGAATATTTATTAGTCCTTTACTAATAACTTGTTTTTTTTAAATTGATATAAATTGTTCTGCAGTATCTAAAAGAAAAAAATGTTATAGGCACTTGTACCACAACTAAAGACAACTAAAAGAATAATTGCAAGCAAACTGTATTTCAATCATGAAGAAGTCCAATTACTGGCTCCTTTAAAATAGAACACTATTTTATAATTAACTTGGGGGTGCAAGAAATGTTTTAAAAAATATCTTCCCCGCCACTTAAGAAACATCGCATAACATGTAGAATAAAAAGAAACTTATTCGAATGAAGAAAAGCTCAAAGCTTATTCAGATTTAACATAAACAGAATGAACTTAAAAGCTTTTATGGAGTTACAAAAAGATTTTACTGCAGGTATCAAACGACATATAAGGTTTTAATTTGTAGTATCGAGTTCCCCAACTTATAAGCTTACTTGGCAAGTATTTATGATAATTTCTTTAATTGCCAATTATCAATATATAAAGCAATTGTCACCACGTATATACAGATACAAGGATATGTAGACAAGTATATTACATTTTTCATCTGTATATATATGTAGCGTAGTAATTGAAAAAGTTGTCTGTTAACATCAAAATGTTAGAATGTGTTTAGAAGATATCAGAGAGGCGAGCGTGGTAAACATAAAATTGGCCCCGGGGCAAGCGGTTGTTATTTGTTATTACTTTGATGTTAATTCCCTGGGTGAATTTGCGCATTATGCTCAACTACTTGTTTGTTACTATATTTTAAAACTAAATGTGGTAGAAAAAAGTTAGAGAAATTAACCTAAAAATATCTTTAAATAAATTCGATAGAATTAAAGGTTTCCTAGGGTTTATGACGTTAGTCGAATAGCGAGATTGGAACTAACGATAAAGATCGATAAGTTGTACTTTTGACCATAAAGCTATTTGCGCTTTAACGAACTGAAAACTCTTAAGAGAGTAACGAACCTCAAAATTAACTTATTTAGGGTCTGACTCATTGGTTTAATTAATAATAGAATAAGTAAGTATTCATAAAACCTTTTAAAATATCACCGGATGAATGTGATATTTATTCATTAGCTACAAGCTCGCCGCGGTGCTACGTGATCGCTACGGCACTACGTGCCCGCTACGACCCCTTACGTACAAATCTGTTGCATTAAAACGTGAATTTGCTTTGGCATTTCTCTTCAGGATTATGGTGTTGATGTTTAAATACGTTTTTACTCTCAGTAAAAATACTGCGAATTTTAAAAGTTAAAATATATTTCTTTTAATTAATGTATATTATTAATCATTCTAATATTATAAATGTGAAAGTTTAGATGGATATATGGATGGATGTTTGTTAGTTTGTAGCCTTAACAGCTGAACGGATCTCGATGAAATTTGGTATAGATGTAGAGGATAGTCTGGAAGAACACGCAGGCTAATCACTTTCGTTTGTTTTAATTCTACGCGGACGGAGTCGCGGGCGAAAGCTAGTCAAAAATAAATAGGAATTGTTCTTAAATGTTAATAGAAATAATATGAAATTTACATAAAATTATCATGCATTTTTTGTTAATCCTTTTTTTATTTCTCGTATAATAAAAGTATTGAAATAATCACTACTAAGATTTATAAGAATGTAATGAGTATTAAAAAATTCATATTTTCTTTGAACTTTGTTCCACATAATTAATAAACTTTAGACAACAGTTACAAAATCTAAATGGAACTATTTGCGGTCAATCGACAGTCTATGACTTGACACCAGCACCGAAAAGTTTGTCCATTAGGTATCAAGGAGACGAAGGTTTCAGACTACGATAAATTGATTAAAACTATATGTCCTCAATTTGTGAGCGTCAGTGTAGTTGTTAAACGCTTGACTAGACCGGACTAAAATCAACACACCCAGGTTTAATCTCCAAGGCCAATGTTCTCTTAACTTATGAATTTCAGAATGTTGTTGATTTTTTTCCTTTATCTCAAATGGGATGTCTATGCGGTCTATGTTTTCCTGTTTCCTTACGTTACTGCTTACCTCTAATTAAAATAAGCCAAGTGTATGAAACACTTTTCCTACCCCACTTTTTACAATAAATGAGCGACCCTAGTTTTCCCCCTGTAGCAGTATTAATTAAATTGTTCAACGTAACATCCCTTTTATGCTATTTGCCTGTTTATAGAATTAATGCAGTTGTTTTTGTTTTGATACAACACGTGCAAAATAACATGATGGGCTATAAAAAATTCGTAGTACCAAAAAAAAGTTTAAGTTATTTTCTTCATCTTAATACTATTATTAATGTGAAAGATTATATCCATATGTATGTTTAATATAATTTACCGCCTAAATGACTGATCGGATCTCGATGACATTTAGAACAGCTACAGACCGTAGTCTGGAAAAATACAAAGGCTACCTAACAATTATTTTTTTAATTCCGCACACGGAGTCGCAGGTTAAAAAAATATTTTTTTCTCGTAAACTTGTTTCGGCAATTAGAACTCTACTAAGATATATCTACAGCTGGTATTCAATTAATGTAATTGTTTCCAATGTGTTTTATCTTGGTTTTTATTCCACAATATTTATTTATAAATGTTCTTTTCCGTTTAACTCCTGATTGATACGAATACTGTTGGATTTATTTTATGTATAGAGTAGCGCGTTCGTGGATCATTAGTCGCACACTTTGTGGGATTTTGTACAACGAATTGGCGTTTACAGGAAAAATATATATTGTATACGAATAAATATTGATAAACAACCTTTTTAGAATTTGTAGATATTTAAGTACGCTGTACTATGTTTGATTGTTGGATATGAAAAGAAAATTAAGTTATCAAGTTAATTTATAAAATAATACAATTAATATTAATCATACTAATATTATAAATGCAAAAGTTTAGATGGATGGATGGATGGATGGATGTTTGTTAGAGTTTGTAGCATAAAGGGATGATCGGATTTCGATGAAATTTTTCATAGACGTAGAGGATAGTCTGGAAGAACACATAGGCTACTTAGTTTTGTTTTTTTT